GCGCAACAAAATTAATCTGGGGTTTGTTGCATAAATCTGAAGTGGGGTAATAACAACAACAGTAATGTAGTAAAGTTATTTTTTGTGTGGGTAACTGTAATATTATTACTGGAATTTCATTAGTAATTTGTTACACTTCTCGTTACTTGTAAAAGTAATATCATTACTGTAACGCGTTACTAGTGATACGTTACAGCCCAACACTGGGTCCTACTAGCTGTTTCTATTGATGTTTAGCAGGGCTTGTTCAGGATAAAGGCATAACATTCTCTATCCCTCATCACAAATAAACTACATTTTCAAAAAATACAACTTTATTTTTCTCTTTCAGATTCACCAAAGGGACCACAGTGTCAGTCAGTCCCTCTGGTCCAGTGCAAGAAGACACAAATGTGACACTGACTTGCAGTGCTAATGCAAACCCAGCTGTAAAGAACTACACCTGGTACAGAGCTGATGGAGGCCAGGAGACTTTCATGGGACTGGACGTGTTTTAAAACATCAAAGCTTCTAGGAGAGAGGACCTTTTTTCTGCAGTGCAGCAAATGAAGAGGGAAGTGGAAGATCGAACAACACACAGATGGATGTTCAGTGTAGGTATCGTTTGAAACATTTGCATAAATGCAGGTAGGTCAGGCTTCTTTTGTGCAGCGTTTTACAAATGAGGAATGTAAATAATCTTTGTTAATAAGCTTCGAAAGAGAGGCCGTTTTTCTGCAAGGCTGAAAATGAACTGGGAAGTTTTCAATCAAACACAAGACAAATAGATGTACATTGTAGGTGTCATTCATCAGTTACATTTTTCAAAATGTATGAAAGTCTCTTTGTTTATCTTTAATTTGCTTTGATTGGAAACTTCAAATCCATAAAATCTTTCTTTTGTAGAGGATTAACTTTGTTGTAAATAAAGGGAGAAAGAGCGTTATAGATAATGGATGGATGGATAATTTACATAGATAAAGTATTTAGTGCCTTTCTTTTAGGGTGGTGGGAGATCACTTTGGGTAATCCACCTGAACGACCTGAATGGTAGGGGAAACACTGTGTTATATATGAGGTTCTATAATTAAATTAGAGACGAGCAAATGTTAACTTTACCCCCAAAAAGGTCTGCTTAGTAAGAATGTGCATATCAAGTAAAATTACAATCATTCAAATGAAATTGCTTGCGCGAGCAATATTGTATCCTGAGAGGACAAAACCATGCTTTGAGCGGCAAAAAGAAAAAAGGAGAGAGCACTGTAGTTACACGCTCAGGGTGAGATTTTGCTCGTGCTCAAAGCATGGTTTTCTCCTTGCAGGATACAATATTGCTCGTGCAAGAATGCTGCTGCTGCATTGCAAAAATAATATGCGTGCGTGTGTGCTGTTTGTATTGGCTGGGATAAAACGCATAGGTTGGTGATGGAGATGTGACATAGAAGAGCGTAGTGCTGTTCCATAAGTGGAATTGTTTTCAACTGAGAGCTGAGCTGAATGTGCGGCCTCAAGAAACGTATGAAGCTGAGAGCTGAAAAACATGAACTACTGGTTTTGTATTGAAAATAGGGCGCTGCCAGCGTTAAAAGCGCCCTCTGTGGAACAGGCCAGAATGAAACCAATTGACATGGAGGAACTAGAATTTTTCTTTGCCTCATTCACTTCACACGCACAGCTGGTCAACTTTTATTTTTTTATTTTTATAGCCATAAGCCTTATCTTTTACTTTTGAAAATTTGATACAGCATGGCTTTACTTGACTCTCTACTTGTCTCTCTTCCCTACATCCATTACAGATGCTCCACAGATCATGTCCTCATCTGATTGCACCAAAACTGCTAACCAGGTCAACTGTTCCTGTGAGTCTACGGGAAATCCTCCTCCCACTTTACAATGGAGTTTGGATGGGTTAGCTGTCAATCACTCAGAAGAGTTTGCAGTCAGTTATGAGCATCGAAATGGTACAGGCGTGAGCTTCATCACCATGAGTCAAGCCCAAAGGAAGGATCACTTCACTGTGCTTTGTCGCAGCTCAAACTCTCTGGGATCTGTTGCTCAGCGATTTATTTTCTACAGCCTTCCAACATCTGCAGAAAGTCAAGGTTTGTCTCTGAACTGAGTATAACTTTTATTGGTAAGCGGCACATTTCACAATTTGTTCTCATAATTACTAAGTATTAACAAGAAAGCTTTATGAATGGGTAAGTAGTGAAGAAAACGTCCTCTGGAGAGCTTAAATATGTGAAAAATTAATTATTATTACATTATGTCTGAATTTACTAAAATAATAATCTCGTTTGAAGTGGAGCTTCAACCATAATCCCATATTGTCCTTTGTATGTTTCAGTGATTTTGCCAGTCTTCATCGCCACCATTGTCGTCTTCCTGGTGCTAGTATGTGCTCTACTCTTTGTTATCAGGTAGGGTAACAGCAAATCAAACCAAACCGTACAGAATACCACTATGCAAAATATTTAAAAACCTCCTACTGGGATTTTTATTTTCTTTATTTGAGTGAAGATACAGATTCTGTGGTGTTCCTCTGGTCTTTAACATTTTAAGTATTTTTTTGGATTATGAGCAGACCAAGTCTTATCCAGGTCTGGGCCAGCTGATTGCACGTTCAGCTGGCGGCTTCACTGCTGTCACTTCTGCAAGCGCGCTAGCTACACTCAAATTGTACACTCGCACACAGATTTTAGCGCAGGTTTTCTCTACTAAAACACACGTTTGGTAAAACGGTTTTAAAATCATCATATCCCGACAAAAGCCGAGCTAAAATCAGCATTCAAAGAAAAAAAATCACCAGAAAAGTTGAGTGACAGCAGGGCATGACGAAAACTGAACGGAGAAAAGTTTCAGCCACAGTGGCAGACAGCTGGAGGAGCTGGAACACGCTGCAGCTAAATTTCCCCTTAAAGTTAAAGACTAGATCCTGGTAAAGATAAAAGTTATTCACAAAGCATCTTAGCTCTTAAGAGAGCTCCGAAAGTAAAGATCTAAGGATGAAGAGTTTCTCACAGAGAAGAAAGAAGGAGAGAAAGGTGATCAGAAGAATTCCAGCTCTATCACAGTCTCATATTAATATCAGATTAAGTAGACTCTTACAGTTACCAGCATGGTGAATAAACAGGAGCATATAAATATAAGAAAAATACAAAATATTTTTATTTTCTATAATTAGAGCTCAATTAATTAAATAAAAGTTGTAATTGACTTTTGCATCACAATGGTTCAAGAGTAAATTGGTGACTGTTATTCTTCGATCAAAAGTAAAGTTCCTGGGCCAGTGATTACAATGGTCGGGTGATATTTTTTTTATACATTGGAGATTCAGTTTTATAGGCTACATTTATAAACTTTAATACGATAAATATCGAATCATATCGAATATCGACATTAGGCAAAAAAATATTGTGATATCAAATTTAGGCCATATCGCCCAGCACTACTCTCAGCCGAGACTGTTGTTTGTAGATGGAGAATGAATACAGACACACAGACTCCTTCACAGACTTTCACATGTGTATGACCACTTACCTCCTCTGTAAACATCATGCTGGTAAATATCCAGTGTTTCGTGGCCGATGATGATGCTCACAAGGGAGAGCGAGCAACAGGTTACTGGTGCAGTTCGCCTGACGGCCATGCGGTGTCACTACTAACGCAGTATTTTTGAAAAGTTACATATAGGCCCTTTAACCTGCATGGAGGACCAAAGGCTGGTAGTGCTAGCACTGTGAATGCTAGCCACATTTGGCACAACATTATGATATAAATTTTCCTGCAGACGCTGTGATCCTGTGTTTCGAGAGCTGTGAGACATCTTAAAACAACTCAATTTAGTTTTCTGAATTTTTTTCTCAACTTTAAACTACCAGTGGGAACAACAAAACTGTTTTCAGTATTTTCATGTAGGTTTATACGATGCTGTTTTTTTCAGGGCTCAGAGGACTCAACACAACCTGCTTAAGAGTCAGGGGTCAGGTAATGCCAGCACAGTTGCCATGAGCCAACTCTACCAAGTGGAGAAGGAAACGAGGTACTTTATCTTGGAATCCAGCAGTTTTCTACTTAATGTGACTTACATAAGCACAACAACCAACATTTTATTTTCATTGTAGGAACCCAACAAAACAGATGAGGACATTTATGTCAACACCTATGAGCTGAAGAAACCAGGTGTCACCCAACCTGCAACTACCTCTGAGCCAATCAGCACCAACTTACCAAGCTCAAGCAGAAACAACACAGAAGACGCCAGCACAAGTTCAGAGAAGAAAAACGAGGAAAGCAAAGATGTGATTTACACTAGTGTGACTAGGAGGAGCAAAGGGAAGAAGGAGGGAGGAAGCTCTGGGGACACAAATCAGTCAGGTCGCTCCTATCTGGAGGAGAAGCGCTTAGAGGGAGCATTGAATTTTGTGAGCAATGCAGTAGAGATGGTAAATCTATATGACGAAGTGAAGCCTAGAAATGTGAGGAAGGACTCTGAATGTGAATATGCCCAGGTTAAATTTAGAGAAAAGAGTGTGATGCAGACATAGCTTACAGTTCAGTCAGGACCACTTTGTCAAGAAAATGTACTTTATTCAAATTATTTATATTCGGCGGTATGGCTCTGTTTTGGGATCTCCCTGACCTTCCACGTTCTTAAGTTGAATGCGTAAGGCAGGAGCAGCACACATACCTGCCCTTCCTGTGCATACAAGGAAAGCTATAGGCAGAGATAAGCAGCAAAGCCAAACAGAGCAGACATCAATGACATGCATGACATTGATTGATGCAAGTCATTGCAGCATAAAAGGAGGAGCTGGGGTGGAGGAGGGCTGCAAATGTGGCTCAGAGGGAGCAGCAAAGAGTAGGCAGGCTAGAGCAGTTTAAATAAGCGGCATAAGAACTTTTGGCTAATAGAATGCTTTGAAGTAAATCAGCTGGCCATCAGCTGATGAGGCTTGTGTGAGATCAGCTGTTACCGAAACTCTGGCATGATAGTAGAGCGTGACTCATTCCCTGCCTGAACTAACGCTACGCTAAATTTCTATTGCTGATTTAAGAACTTTTGATATTGTTTTGCTCTCTTGAATGTATATTTTCTTTTTTCTTGTTTATTTTCCATAAAATAAAATAAAAAATTAAGCAAAAGAAAAGTTGAAACTAGGGCTGGGTGATATGGCCTTGAAAAAAAATCTAAGATGTTTTTTCCACACCGAACTTGATTGACGATTTTAACTTGATTTTCATTTAAAATGTGCCTCTGTTTTGTGCTCACAGTTTGGTTAATTCTTTGCATTGAGACCAAGGACAACTAGTCATTCTTCATCACCCTGCAGGTTATGGGTCTGCAGTAGTTGCTGCAAATTCATTGAGGATGAAATGCCTTCAGCGTTGACACAACTTGTAAAAAAAAAAAAACTGCAGCTAGCCAGCATAAGAGAACTGAAGTCACTATGTTTCTTCGTTTCAGGTTCATGAAGGGAATCAACACAATGCTCTATATGTCAACCAAATCAAGTGAAGCTTTTGAAAGCCCCTGATGTGGATTCCCTTGTTGTTGATATGTTTGATGATGAAGAAATTCGCCGTTGACACTGACTTGCTTACATAATGATCATTTTATTGACAAACAAGTTACAGCATCGCCAGGCTCGCCATGGTTCGACCTGGGAGAGACACAGCCAAAAGTGATCTCCCCCGAACACACAGAAACTCTGGTATTTATGGACACACCCCACAGGAGAACAACATGGGGACATCTGTTTGTTTTCAGGACACCCCTCTTACTACAACTGCGGGGGTTTCTGTCTTAGATATATGTATGTCATGAACGCAAAGGACAACACAGGTCACAGATACAATCTCTTGTCCAGATGTCCCTGGGCAACTCTCTGGACACAGGGCCCCATTGTACACATTCCACTGAGAGGGCTCCTGTCGTAGATTTAGGATTTCCGGATAACTCAAAAAACATCACTGGTCTCAAATATAATTACTACAAACTGTCGTTTTGCACATTCTTAATAAGAAACAGAGCTGACCTAATTTCCAGATATGTCAGACACTTCACCCCTTAGCAACATCTTTCAGCTATCTTCAAATTGCCAAGACTACCACATAGCATATAACACAAGTGTAACAGGAAATAGGAAAGCAAACCAACATTCTGTCAGGTACAAAGCCTTGTTAAAAAAATTAGAATTTAAAGTGCCTTAATGTTCATGTTCTTTAAGTTCTCAGTTGTTAATTTTGTGTGAACTTAGAATAGATGTTACTAAGGAAATGAGTAATGAGGAGCTTGTGTAAATAAATAAATAAATGTCCCAGTAACAAAGGTTTGACTCGAGTCTGATCTGTTTGATGCAAGTCATCGCTTCTTTTTCACTCTAGATTCCTCTTTCTATCTTTGGCTGTTACTTTACAATATACGCATTTACTGCGCAAAAATAAAAAATAAAAGAGTAACGTATGTGACCATTGATATTTATGATGCACAAAGACTCACAATACTATGGCTCCCAAATATATACTCATTTATTTGCTATAAGTACATGAAATAAAATTGTTTTGAGCCTGACAGGGAAAATCTAGAGACTTTTTCGACCCAGCACCTAAATAACTGAGCATGTTTGCTGACTTTTTCAGCATTGATATTTACTCATATACTGATGCCTAAGGCATGTCTTATATGAGAGAGCTCTTAGTTTTTTATGCTATTTGACTAAGTAGCATGGATATTTTATAGCCTCTTTTGTGAACTAAGGGTACATCGAATTTAAAGTTTCACAGGTCAGATTGTCACAGATCGTTTTGCAGAATGGCCGACGAATCACAATACATCTTCTGCATCTTAACAACATATCATATTCTCATATTTCATCACTTTATCCACATTGCTACAATTTTCATTATGATAATTCAAAGGCAAGTCAAGTTTGCATGTTTAAAAACAGCCTGAACTAACCAATGTGCTTTACTTACAAGGCGTAAAAACAACAGCAGCTTCAAAGAAAGACAATAAAATATATATACACACATGAAGAGGTTTTACATAAGATGACAGTGGGCCAAGTGTTTTACAGATAAAGCTGGTTGGAGTCAGGGGGGCCAAACAGAACTACCTCATTTTTTACTCATTTAGTATTAAAACGTTTTGTGCCATCCAGTCTTTCGAGTAGTATTTGCAGGGAGTGGGGGTTATTGCTTTTGAGAGGGATATATATTTACATGTCATCTGCAAACCAGTGGAAGGATAAGCCGTGCTTCCTTATTAGGAGACCAGTGGCAGGATGAACAGGGAAAAACAAAAAAGAGGTGATAAAACTGAGCCCTGAGGAACCCCACAGGTGAGGGCAGCAGAGGGAGAAAAGCTGTATCCTAGGCATACTTTAAAACTTCTGTTTTCCGAGTATGATTTGAGCATATTTAGCCTGGATCCCAACCCAGTCTTTAAGCCTGGTGATAATTATTTTGTGGTCAACCGTCTAAAATGCGGCACTGAGATCTCCACTCTAAAAGTATTAAATTGCATAGTCCCCATTGTCTACTGCTAAAAACAAATCATTAAGAACTTTTAAAAGGGCTGTTCAGTGCTGTGCTTTTCTCTAAAACCTGATTGGAGTGCTTTAAATATTTGATTATTGCTTAAAAATTGATTCATTTGTTTATTGATTACTCTTTCGAGAATTTTGGATAGTAATGGGAGTTTCGAAATGGGTTAAAATTTGATCAAATGTTAGGATCTAGGTTAGGTTTTTTTAAAGAGGCTAAACCACTGCATGTTTACAATCGGTCTGGAAGCATCTTGTGGAGAGGCAGCTGTTGATGAAGGAGAGGATGCTAATAATTTAAAATGTTTCTTTAAAAAGGCAACGGAGAATACAAGCAGATGTCCATGATGTGGGCTTCAAATGAAGGATTATTTCTTGCAGAGAGGAGAGAGATAATGAATAAAGAATTCTAAAATATCTCGCAATTTTCTGTGCAAGAGACTGGAGAGGTGTAGTCAGTGAGTCAGGCCCCATCCACACGTATACGATTTTTTTGAAAACGTAGTATTTTCTCTCCCTTTTGGCGTGAAACAATTGAAAACTGAGTTTTTGGTCACTGCAAACAGTTTTTGAAAAACGCATTCCAAGGTGGAGATTTTTAAAAAATCACGTTTACTTGTATTCGTGTGAACAGTTAAAACAGTTCAAACGGAGCTTTTTGTAATAGTGACGTAATTACGTCGACTTGCGTGTTGAGCATGCGTCATAACCAAGATGGCGGGCTACCAGTTTGTTTACATCTGTTCTCTGCTGTTAGTCGACATTCTCCTGGCACTTATTCAAGTGTAACTCAAAGCAGCAACTCCACTTCGTCGTCCGTCCAAACGAATGAATCGGCTTTGTGTTTGTTGACTTGTTTCACCATCTTTCCAAATTGCCGCTGTCAAAATTACGCTTAATACGCATGCTCGCTGTTGGTGTGGACGGGATTTTTTTTGCATCCGGAGGGGGAGGAAACAGGTTTTTAGAAATATCCGTATGCGTGTGGACGTGGCCTCAGTGAGTTTACGGGTTTTTATTAACCTTGGGTCTGTTAAAGTTTTGTGTTGTGAGATCGCATAAGTATTTTGTCCTTGCTAAAAAAAGTCCTTTGCTCAATACCAAGACTCTGTCAAAGCAGCAAGTCATAAGAGACTTGGAGTTTGACTTTTTTCCATTTTCTTTCTGCCTTTCTACAGCTTCAAACAATTAGATAAACCTAAACTCCCCTTTTATTTTTAAAGTACTTTTAAAATCTGATAACATCAGACTGAAATATAAAAGGCGTGTGTGTTGAGGAACTGCATCTTCAGTTTTTGGACTGAACACACCCCTCTGTAACATAGTTTGGCTACGTTTACAGATACAGACTACAGCAGGCTGAAACGTTACCTAGTGAAGCTACTGATTGTTGTCACACACAGCCACCAGCTGATCCCTGCGTGAGAGCAGACGGGGTGGAGGGAACGGAGAAAAGACGAAGCAGTGTTTGAAACAAAGAAACGATACCCAATTAAACAGCAACACTTTACGAGCTCTTTCTGTATGAAAGTCAGCAAAAAAAGTCTGTAATGTCCTCCTATTTGTACAGCAGGTACGACTTAGGCCTGGCTCACACTGCAGGATAATCGGATCTCAAATCGGCCTGATTCCTCCTTTCCGATAATCGCGGGATCGCTCCCGACTCAAGACTGATCGGAACCGATTATCTACCGACATTATCTTGTAGTGTGAGTTGTAATAAAGATCCAATCTTAACGTCCCCAATCTGCTCGGTGATCGTCGGGGACTCCCCCGATTTATTTCAAACATGTTTGATATTGAAAGGGTCTGGCACAAGTCGTGTGTGACTACAGAGACGAGGGAGGACAGTAATATGTGTAGTAGTAGTGACCAGCGGCAGGAGGGAACCCGCACAGGACACCTGTATGCATCTGACAGGTACAATCTGACCTCCAGCTCTCACTGAAGATTAAGCAATCCATGTTTTCCGCGTTTCCCAAGAAATTTCTTCTACCAAAACTTTAAAAAACATGTTTTTGTATTTTATTCTCTGTGCAAATCATTATAATCACAAATTTAACCGCGGCTCCATTGTTAACGTGAGGCCAGGTGAGGTGGTGCGTTCCTCCGTCGGGCACGATAATCCTAATAAAATCCTGAAGATTGTGATGTGAAAAGATTTCATATCTTGTAGTATGAGCATATTTGAGATTATGGAGAAGAATATCTGTTAGGATTCTCTGTCTGATGCTGCCCGAATTCAAAATTGGGAAGGAGTTTAAAACTCCTGCAGTGTGAGCCAGGCTTTAAATGCTGCCTTCTTTTCACTGAGACTTAGCGGTAGTTGTTACACCATATTCATGCATTTTCCATCTATCTGCAGATCACGTGCACATATATATATTACAGTATATATATATATATATATATATATATATATATATATATCTTAACTCATTCTGTGAATAAATCATACAGCCATAAAAGATCTAGAACTAGGAAACAACGTCAGAAAGTTCAAACGAACAACTTTAAGCCTATTGGACACACAGGTGCTGCACTACAAGGAGTTTATATAATCAATATCAGAAAAGCTACAAATACTTCAGAATGTTTTCGATTGGTCATCATCCCTAATAATAAAGGGGTTTTTTAAAGATGTTTTTATTCTGAAACATAACCTCACCAAAGGAAACGAGTGTGAGTGACAGCTCTCATAATGTTACTTTGTATGACAAATGGCTGTACAGTAAACTCTGCTTTCAAAAGCAGCTTTCACTGTTGTTCATTTCCTGTTGCATGACACATACTTTTCTTTGTCATCAGCCTTACTTCACTGAACAATAAACATTTGTTGTCAACTTTGCTAAC